GAAGGGAGTGGTCCATTGTAAGGAAGGAAAGCCTTTTTGGCTTGGGCAGCTACCTGGGGATTCTCCCCCATCCATTCTCTCCGTGTCCCAGGCTAACCCTTGTGTTAATTCTCCTTGCTTCCCCTTTTAAAAACTCAGTTACCACTGCAATCCCCTTCAGTGTCGTTCCCTGGATTAGGCCCTTTTCTACCTACCTCTTTACGTCAGCCAGGAAGTCTTCTGACTTGAGCTTCATGGATTGCCCTAGTTAGAAAACCCTCTGCCACAATTGGACTGCTGCCAGCTGCATTTGTTTTCCTCGTTTCTCTTGCTGTTCTGCATTGGGGCTTCATGGAGCCTGTAGTATCAGTGGGATGCCTTTGCCTCTGGGGAGCATCTCAGTGCAAAACTGTAGGTTATTGCTTCTCTTCTGCTCTCTCCCCACTTTCTCTTGTTTCTAGTTGTGAATGTCCAGTTACTTAAGAGCTTCCTTCACCAGAAAGGTAAATGTTAGGATTGGGAGGGATCCAGAGGCCAGAATCTGTCATCAAGCAGTAGCTGCCTGCCCCCCAGAACTGAAACACACAAAGGACAAGTCAGCCAGATAGGCCAGACTGAAGAGTGTTCACAGAAGACTCTTTCTCAGATGGACCTGAGAGTGGGAGAAAGAGAAAGATAAGCCATTTGGCTCAGGGGCTCACATCCTGAACTGTTTGTAGGGAAAGTCATAGGGGTAAACCCCATGCCTAATGCTACAGTTCTCTTGTAATAGTGTCTTCAGTGGACATTCAATATGTTTGTACTAATGGAATTTTGTTTTTCTACGTTTTACTTGCTGTTTGAACCCAGATGTATAAACAGACTTTTCCTTCTCATTGTAAACTTATCTTTCTTAAAATTGCATCATTTGAGTCACAGAAATACAAATTAAAAAAACAGGATTTTGATTAAACACAGGGGAAGCTGTTAATTGGCTTTTTTATTGTAAGCCTGAGACTTACTTAGACCTCCTAAGGAAAAGATAGTTTATAAAAGAGATACACATGGACTAGAACTAGCACACCACCGGGAACTGAACCTGCTTCTCTGTCTCTACTAGGTCATGTGGGTGTTCAGCGTGGCTGCCACTCCACTCTGTTCTTTTCTACTAAATGGCTTGCTCTCCTTGCCTAACCATAGCTTTGCTTCCTTGTAATTTTAATTTGCAAATAACCTATCATGTACCCACTAGGAGCCCTTTCTACAGCTTTCAAAAACAGAGAACTCCCTCATACTTCTGGTATAAATTCCAGAAGGATAATACAAGATAATACAACAGTCCAACAGATCTCTGGGTGAGGCCTGGTTTCATCCTAGTCAGTGCCCTCCCAGAAGAGAAGGAAGGGCTATGTGGTCCAAATAGGGCTGCCCCTTTAATTGTGTCTGTGAACAGGCAGTTTCCCCCAGAGGGGGAATTTGAAATACACACTGCTGCTGAGCCTGTCTGGTACCACACAAAGTACTGGGACACAGAGCTCTGTAAGTTCTTCTAACAGGTAAGCAACTGAATAACTCGCCTAGAGTGGGTATAGTGAATATGATTAGCAAGTGACATGTATGGGGAGGAGGGAAGAGTGGAGTGCAAAGGCAAGGACCTATTGAGTCTTTTTAGTATTAACCCTGTCATTAAAGCATAAAGTCTATCCCTGTATCTAATTTTTTTTTTTTTTGACCGGTAAGGGGATCGGAACCCTTGGCTTGGTGTCGCCCACACCGCGTTCAGCCAGTGAGCACACCGGCCATCCCTATATAAGATCCGAACCTGTGGCGTGGGTGCTCCCAGCGCCGCACTCTCCCAAGTGAGCCATGGATTCGGCCCTCCTGTATAATTCTAATAGAACAGTGC